TCGTGGGCAGGGTCAAGCACTTTTATAACAGTAGGGTAGCCAATCAGATCTTAGCAAAAGGTGTAAGCTGATAGGTTAGGGTCATCGGTATCTAGGCAGACATCATTTTTACCAGGTTGTTTACGCGGCATAGAGAATCTGGAAGCAGGAAATAGGCGCCATTTTAGGGTGCGGCTGGGGCAGCTCCTCACAATATTGGTTACAAACTTTTGTAACTAATGGGTTTGTATTTTAGACCATATGAGCAATCATTATGACTGTATAGCTAAGTAGTTATTAAATTGGGAATTTGTATTTAAATTAGTTCCCTTAAGTTCTGTCTGATCACTTCCCCTTGATGTACCTGGGGTCTTCCAGGCAGACTAGTTCACCCTGGGTACCTCTAGAGCCCTCTCTCAGTCAGGAGAGAAAGAGAAGATGCTCTCATAGATCTGGGTCTATCAAAGCATCTCAGTTTACTCAGTCCAGATCTACCAAGTTCAAACTCATTCAGGTGGGCCTGCTTTGGGTCTGGCTGCTATACTCCACTTCTTCTTACTGCAGCCTGTGGAAGTGAACCTGCTGTGCCCCTCTGGCAAGATGTTCAGCTCCTGGATTAGCTGTGTGACTCTAGCCCCTGGCCTCTCTGCAGAGAGTGCTGCCCCAAGGTTCCATAGTAGGCCTGTCTGATGGAGGAGGTTTCTCCAAGTGTGTGAATAGTCCCACACATGTGGGACCTGTGCTCTGATTGGAATGGGATCTGGCAAGCAGGTGAAATGTCTCACACACATATTAACCTGTTTTATTGTTATTGTTATTTTCTATTGTTCTTGAAAGTAAAAAAAAGACTACAAAGCAAAATAAAAGTGAGTTGCATAGGTATGATGCCACATACCCATAATCCTGCTACTTAAGAGACTGAGGTAGTACAATCAGAAGCTTAAAGCCAGCCAGGATAACATAGAGAGACCTTGAGAAGAAAGAAATAGGAGCTTCCAAATTGTAAAATTGTTGCTTTTGGCATAGAAGAAAAGTGTCAAAGAACATGTATCATTCCGTTCCTGACATCATATTCATCATTGTCTCTTGAGTTGCTCTTCTTTAATAAAAAGAAGAAAGAATTCCCATATGATGAACAATATGTTTTATATTTATAACTATAAACATAAAAGCTTCAAAAAAGTAAATGTTTCAATGAGTTAATTGTACTTTGTGTTTAAGATACTTTTTTAAAAAAATTATTCATTTATGTGTTTGGTACAGCGTCTTACTGTGCAGCTCAGACTTGTAGTGATCCTCCTGTTTTCATTCTCCAAGCACTTGGATTACAGGCATGCACCACCATGTCTCAGTGGCTGGCTAAGTGCACCCTGGAGATCAAACAAAGAAACTCTTAAAACCAAAAGTTCATTTTAACAGAAAAAATAATGGTTCATCTCAGAATTTCTTAAATTAAGATTAAAATAGCAAGGCCTTGTGGTGCATATCTGTGGTGCAAGCATTCAGGAGGCTGAGATAGGAGGATAGCTATGAGTTCAAGGCCTCTCTAGGCTACATACTGAATTCAAATGCAGCTTAAGTTACAGAGCAATACTTTGTCTCAAAACAAAAAGCTGAAATAAAGGAGGAGAAAATTGCAATAATAGGCGTTTAGAATACTTGTTTTTCTGATTCTCTGATGGAACTTCCACTCTAATTTCTCTTATTAAGAGGCTTTTATAAATATTTAGTTGCATCCCCTCCACCCACATCCCCAATGCCATTTCTCCAGTTACTCAGCAACTTACATCTTATTTTAAAATGTTGTTTTTCTTAAAGAAAAAATTGTTTTATAATCATTATGCCTTTTAATATAATACCTCCAAATAATATTTTGTGTAAATATTGTATTTGTACTGGTAAATTGGGTGGGATTTTTTTTTTTTTTTTGCTCTAAACCTACATGGTATGTTTCTCAAAAACAAGTTGGTCAACAGCTATTGAATTATTAACCACCTGATGCAATTAATGCCTTTAGAGGAATGCTACTGGACTTGCTTCCATTCAATGATTCTTCCACATGAAGTCATAATGAAAGGGAGCTTCCTGTGATTCAGGCTTCACTTTGGAACTAAATTAGCCAGTACCTTGTTTTTAGATTTCTCACTGTCCAGAGCTGTGATGAAGTAATTCTTGTTATTTCAGCTACACTGTGTGGTTTTTTGCTATCACATCCTGAGCTTACTGACACAACTTCCCATTTTTTTTCCAGTTATCCACCTCTTCTATAAAAGTCTGTCAATAGCGACCATGGCGAGGGAACATGGCTGAATCCGGACCAAAGTTGGTGCTGTTCGTGTGTCCAGGTAACATTTGCCGATCGCCCATTGCAGAAGCAGTATTCAGAAAACTTGTAACTGATCAAAACATTTCAGATAACTGGGCCATTGACAGCGGTGCTGTTTCTGACTGGAATGTGGGCCGGGCTCCAGTCCCAAGAGCTGTGAGCTGCCTAAGAAATCATGGCGTTAGTACACACCATAAGGCAAGACAGGTCACCAAACAGGACTTCGCAACATTCGACTATATCCTGTGTATGGATGAAAGCAATCTGAAAGATTTGAATAGAAAAAGTAATCAAGTTAAAAACTGCAAAGCTAAAATTGAACTGCTTGGGAGCTATCATCCACAGAAACAGCTCATCATTGAAGATCCCTCTTACGGGAACCAGTCTGACTTCGAGCTGGTATACCAGCAGTGCCTCAGGTGTTGCAGAGCCTTCCTGGAGAAGGCCTGCTAGGGCTGGCCAGGCCCCGCTGTGGTCTGCAGTCATCCAATCCAGCTCTGCCCTTGCCTGTGCTCAAGCCCCAGTCCCCACCTGTTTCTCCACCTGACTTTACTGTTTCCTTTTTAAAAAATAATTGTAGGTGCAGATCTGCTGTATTTGCAGAAGAATAAATAAATATGCTTGATTTGGTATTAAAGAGT